AGAGTCGGGAAAAAGGATCTGGGGCTCAGGGACAGCAAGTCTGGCTACAAGAGGCTGCCAGATCTGAGCAGGGACAATACCCCAAGACATGAGTCATGAGAATCCCTGGAAGTTCTGCACTTTTTTACTACACACACACACACACACACACACACACACACACTCTAAATAATATAGTAGTTTAGTGGTACCTGGTTTTAACCTTCATATTTATTGAATGACTTTAAATGTAATGTTCCATGACTTATTTTTTTCACTTGCCTGGGAAGAAGAGCAAAGGGGCTTAGATTCTTAGATGACTCTGTGATAAAGGAGTCTATCTTCACCCCCTTCGAAGAGCATCAAGGGGCTCCTGAAATCTGAGTCAGGAATCCCATTGTCCTTGGCCGGTCCGCTGGCCCAGGGTGCTCCCGCTTGGGTTGGAGGCCAGTCTGGGGTCTACGTACCTTCGGGTCTTACTGTTCTTCTCTTGCCCAAAGCCAGATTTAGTGGTTCTGTGACTCCAGGGACAGACAGAAAATGAACAGTCGGCAAGAGGCACAATGCCAGGGGCTTTCTGCAAGCCCAGAAGGCACGTTGATGCCAGCTGACTTCCAGAAAGATCCATGCCATCACCCCCAGCAGCCCAGCTGCAGAGGAGGAAAGATCCTTGATTGGGAGAGGCAACTTGAAGTTGGAGCCAACATGGGCAGCACCCATTTGGGGCAGTTTTTGAGCTAAAAAAAAAAAGTGGAAAGCCTCTCTCCAGAAGCTGCAGCATTTCAGCAGCCAGCCTTCTCCCCCACTTCCCACGTTTTAGTCTATCTGCTCCGAAAAGAGTCTTTGCTTCCCCTCCCCCCCGGGGCTAAGAGGTTGGAACAAGTTCCACTCTTCTGACAATGTGCCCCAGCTGTATGTGTGATAGTTTGTCTTCCATCAGTCTTTCTGGCAGCGGTGAGGTGCTGAGCTTCTGCTCATACCTTCATTCGATTCCTCACCAAAGTAATCTAGAATTCCAGAAGGAAGGGCATTAGAACTGGCCCTCTCTTGAGCAAACCCGCTTCTAGAACACTCCAGAAACACAGAAGGGGAGATGGTGAGTGCTTGCTCTAGAACGCCCATGAGTTCCTTCGGTCCTGAGGACCCAGAAGAAGAGAAATGTCTCTTCTAGGAAAGACCAGAATGGTTAACTCTAGAGGGATGAATTCCCAGTTCCATCTAGAAAGACTCTAGATGTGGGGGCTGGGAGCTGCAAGTGGGCATTGTGCCTTGTAGAACTGTCATGAGCCTCTCCGGACATTGCCAATCATCAGGGAAATATCTTTCGCTGCTTCTAGAATGTTCAGGCATTTGCAGGAAGCCCATCTCTCAAAGTCTAGACAACGAGAATCTCTCTGGAAATGGCTGCTCCATTGCCGCGGGGCCACCACAAGCTTCTCCAGAAGCTGCGGGACCTCTGGAGACGCAGAACGCTGGCCCTAGATTGATCAGGCTATTTCAGAAAAGCTCGGCGGCCACTTCCAGAGTGGAGACAAGTCTGTGTTAATGCCCACCCACTCCGGCAGGAAGGCGGCCTCGGGCTTAAAGATCTTGTGAAAGCTGGAGTCAGGCAGGGTGAAGTCGGCCAGGTGGACGGTGTCTCCACCAGCCAGGTAGACAGCCCAGGAGCCGGAAGTGCCAAAGGTCACGATGGCGTGGTTGACTTTGTGTGAGCAGCACAAAGTCAGTCCCTCCCCAGGGATTTCTCCTGCCCCTCGCCAGCGAAGACCACATCCCCCTGGGAGGTGTCACCGTTATCCCAACACCACGCCATGCAGGTGACCACAAACATGAGGGCTTCGTGCCTTGCCTGGAACCAGCCCACGGCCTGCTGGGGATGGGCGCGATCGCCCAGCATGCCCTTCCAGCATTGGGGCATAGCCCCCAGGTAGTCCCCACGGCACCCGTGGACACCTGCGGACGTGCACAGGGTCCTCAGAGTGGAGCAGGCGCAGCTGTCTCATGAAACCTTGGGCCTTGTCCCGAAGGTGGTCATGCAGGGCGAACCCGCTCCAGATCCCTTTCCGGAGATGGTGGAAGTAGGAGCAGGGGAGGCTGGCGAGCTTCGGCAAAGGGGCATTCGAGCAGGTATACGCAGGTGCAGCTCCCGCCCAGGCGTGTGGCTGTCCGCCCCGGGCACCAGCGTGGGCAGGGGATGCAGAACGCAGGGCGGGGGCAGCAGGATAGATGGCAGGATGAAGGCCTAGCGGCCACCGAGCTACACCAGGGTCAGCAGAGTGGCATACTGCCCCACCTGGCTACCGAACCGGCCACCTGGGGAGGTAATCCAGGTTCCTGGCAGAGAGGAAGGGTGCTTGGGGCAGGAAGAGGAGGTGTCGGGGGTCATCGGCGGTGTGCCTGATAGGCAGAAGACAGCCACAGGGGACGTCACCGGGTGTCAGTCTGCAAACAGAGCAGACGGGTCCAGGCCATCGTGGGAAAGATCTTGACAGATACCGAGGAAGAAGGCTGCTGAAGAACACAGACTAGGCGGCAGGTCAGACAGAGACGGTGTAGTGGGCCGAGGCCCCGCCCACATGGCTGCCGGCAGGGAAAGGTGAATCAGCAGAAGCTCAGAGTTAGGGGAAGAATGTCACGATGGAGAGGCCTGAAGGAATGAGGGGACTGAGAGTTTTGACTCCTAGGTCTGAGGGAGAAGGGGATCAGGGCCCAGGACTCCCAGATCTGCAGGAGATGAAGCTAGAGGCTTGGAATTCACACAACGGGCATGGGAGGTGGTGAGAACTGGTGGATTCCAAGATAGCAGTGGTCCAGGATCCAGCGCCTTGTCCCCACATCTTGCAATCTGCCTCTCCCCAGATGTAAGGCCCCCTGAAGTTGGCCTGTGTTCCACCAACTCCTTTCCCGGGGACCTGGGTGTGAGGGGCAGTTTACCACGGAGGTGACAGGGAGCCGCAGGCCAAGTAGAACCTGAGAGGCGGGAGTCCCAAGACTGATAAGGGACCTTAATTCCTGTAGGAGTTGGGGGTGGGGTTGGAGGAGACTCCTGGGACTGAAGACCGCCATTCCTAGATTTGGGGTATCCGCAGTTTCCGCTAACCTGAGCTCCTGGTGCACGGCGGGTACACATTACGGCCAGGGCGCGCCGTACCCCAGAGCGACCCACATCCGGCCACTCTGGAACCGCGAACTCCCTGTTTCCAGGACCCGCGGCCCTCCACTCCATGCCACCTCCCAGGGCAGGGGGCGACGGCTCCGGGGGGAAGGGGAGCTGCGCCCCTCCCGGCACAGGCAGGTAGGCCCTCCGCCCCTTTCCCGGGGCTGCACCCAGAACTAGGGTGGTAGCCCTGGCTAACTGCCCTCCCCGCTCCACCCCACAGAGCCGGGGAGCGCAACCCCAGCCCCTCCTGGCCGGCGAGAGGGCTCCGCCCCGGGCAGCCTACCTGGCCTGCGGACATGGGGGTCAAGCGGCAGCTGCCATGCTAGACCCCGGCGTTCAGTTCCGACGACCTCGGTGTCTGACCTACGGTCCACCTGCCGAGCCCAGCTACGCCCCACACGCTGGGGTACAGCCCGGCCCCTCGGTCTGGGGGGTGGGGGGAGGCTCCTCCAGCCCTCAGCGTCCACCGTCAGGGGCTGCTGATTCCCCATTCCAGCCCATCCCGCCGCAGATTCGAGTCGCGGCCCCCAGCCTCTCCTTTGGGAAGATTCTAGGTCTGGTGACTTAACTGCTGCTTTCTAGACAGCACGTCCCAGAGGCGGCCTCTGCCGAGGACAGGAACCGGGACAACCGGAGCGGACGTGTCCACCACGTCCCTTGCCTCTCGCAATGGCCAGAGTCTGGCTAGGGATCCAAGGCCTCGGCTCTTCTGCAGACCGGAAGCTGTTTCCATTCTCGAAGGCTCCTCCTCACCTCGCCCACCCAGAGAGCAGTCCGACCTTGTCGGTCAATGAATCAGACCCCACAATTTGACTGGACTCTCCCAGCATTCGGCGGTGATTCCTCCGGGCCCAGACGGAGAAGTCCAGGCCTCCCACACCTTCCTCCATCAGAACCGGGAGCCCATCTCCACACACTCGGAATCCAGAAAACTGCGTGCCCCTCACTTCTTTTGGGTGTTGGGTCTAACTTCCCCCTCCTGAGCTTGGCTCACTTGGAGTCACCTGTCAGAGATGCCCCCTAACCCCACCCCCACAGCCGCCAGGCTATGCTGGGAGCACACTCTGGGACTGGAGTAGCTTATTTTGTGAAAGAAACCCCAGGATTGCATCAGAGAGGGGGAGGGGCCTGGACATTTGGTATAAAAGTGGGCTGGTGAGGTCAAGATCGGGGGGGTTTGACTCCTAGCCAGGTGAGAAGCTCCTGGGCCAACACACCTGTGCCCCTTCAGAGGACACTTCAGTCATGTGGTATTTGCTGCTTTCATGGTGATCCAGGAATCTCGGTGTCTGAGCCCCCCAGAAACCTAGAGATTCAGGTGGGGTGCAGAAGTTCTAGCTGTGGGACACAATCCACATCAGTCGGTGAGGAGGAAGGTGGTTTTACAGGCCCCCGGCCCCTCCTCCCTCAGACCCAGGAGTCTTGGCCCCTGACCCCTCCATCCTCAGACCCAGGGATTCGGGCCCCTAGCATCCTCTGTCCTCAGAATCAAGAGTCTGGGCCCCTGGCCCCTCCATCCTCAGACCCAGGGGTCCAGACCCCCAGCCCCTGCTCCCTCAAACCTAGAAGTCCGGGCCCCGCAGCTGGAAGGGCCCCCTGATTGCATCATTTGTTCAGCCTGACATGGCCACAGTGGAATCCTCGCTCCTGCCAAGTAGATCAAATATCAAGAGTCAGGTATCAGGAAGGTGATTGGGCGAGTCTGTCTGGATATAAGTTCTGCAGCTTCTGCATCTATCCCGAGAGACTTGGGTGTTCTGTCAGCCCAGAATCCACTCACGGGAGGACCCAGGCATCCGGGCCACCTGAGCGGAGGTCTGTGGCTCTGCTCTCCCCACCCATCAGGCTCTGGAATAGAATCTAGACCATTCAGCTCTTCAGACCCCAGACCCCAGACCTCGCCTGAGGACGTGAGCCGTTGATGGGCTGGGGCAAGGCCAGGTTGCAGCACCCAGGACTGTGGGGCCCTGTGCTGGCCGTCCTGCTGGGAGCCTGCCAGGCACACCCCATCCTGGACTCCAGCCCCCTCTTCCAGTTTGGGAGTCAAGTCCGGCGGCGCTACCTCTACACAGATGATGCCCAGGACACGGAGGCCCACCTGGAGATCAGGGCTGATGGAACGGTGGCAGGGGCTGCCCGCCGGAGCCCTGAAAGTGAGTGTGGGGCAGGACCCGGGCCAGAGGGAGGAGGAGCTGGAGGCGGGGACCCCCAGGTCTGAGGGAGGAGGGGCTGGGGGCCCGGACCCCCGGGTCTCAGGGAGGACGGGCTGGGGCCCTGGAACGCCGGGTCTGAGGGAGGAGGGGCTGGGGGCCCAGACCCCTGGGTCTCAGGGAGGACGGGCTGGGGGCCTGGAACGCCGGGTCTGAGGGAGGAGGGGCTGGGGGCCTGGAACTCCGGGTCTGAGGGAGGAGGGGCTGGGGGCCCGGATCCCCGGGTCTGAGGGAGGAGGGTCTGGGGGCCCGGACCCCCGGGTCTGAGGGAGGAGGGCCTGGGAAAAGGCCGTCTGAGCCCCTCACCACTTTGTGCCTTCAGGTCTCTTGGAGCTCAAGGCCCTGAAGCCAGGCGTAATTCAAGTCTTGGGAGTCAAGACGTCCAGATTCCTGTGCCAGAGGCCGGACGGGACGCTGTACGGATCGGTGGGTCTCCAGGACACCCCTTTCTCACACTCCGTCCTTCCTCCTAGCGTCTTCATCACTGGGGACTGCGTGTGGCATCCGTGGCCCCAGCCAGGCTGGGCTCCATGCTCTTTGCACGGCCCGCCCTCGCCGCAAACCGTGAAGGTGGGGGCTGCTGTTATCGGCGTTTGCAAGGAGAGGAAACTGAGGGGCAGGCAGGGACGTCACGGGGACCATGAAGGACAGAGTGGCCTGAGGGATGGAGTCTTGCGTCTCATGACCGCTGCTGACCTCATGGGCTTCTCCGTGTCTGGCTTATGCTGGGCACAGGGTCACTCAGGGAGCCAGCCCATGGCCCGTCCAGGGACCACGACCCCGGTGGGGTAGCCAGACTCCCCCACTTGGCCCTGGAGAGCCGTGACTGGTCCTTGGGTTGGGATGCTCCTTGTCGCGAAGTGGAGACAGGAAGGCGGGACTGCCCGGGGGTGAAGGCGGAGCCGGCTTTGGTTGCTTTGTGTCCCAGAGGACAGGGTGGGGGCCTGGACCCCTGGGTGCTGGAGTCAGAAGGCGGGGAGGCGTCTCTGAACCTCGCTGTTGTCCCCTCAGCTCCACTTCGACCCTGCAGCCTGCAGCTTCCGGGAGCTGCTGCTCAAGGATGGCTACAACGTCTACCAGTCCGAGGCCCTCGCGCGCCCGCTTCGCCTGCCCCCCTACAGCTCCCCGTCCTCGGACCCGGCCCGCCGAGGACCGGCCCGCTTCCTGCCACTGCCGGGCCCGCCCCCAGAACCCCCACAGCCTCCAGGCCGCCTGGCCCCTGAACCTCCGGATGTGGGCTCCTCGGACCCCCTGAGCATGGTGTGGCCTTCCCGGGGCCGAAGCCCCAGCTACACTTCCTGAAGCCACAGGCTGTCGATTAGAGGGTCGCCTCTCTATTTATTGGGTTATTTATCTTATTTATTTGTTTTGTTTTTCTTACCTAGAAGAATAAAGAGTCTGAGGGGAGGATGAGAGTGAGCACTCTGTGTGTCTGAGGGAGGAGGTGGGATCTGCCTCCCTGCCTCCCAGGGACCCCGAAGCACCCCCGTCTCCATTGCCATAAGGCTGTAGAAAGGTCCCAGCTTCTCCCGGTCCTGTTTTCTGCTCCGATAAGGTGTCCCCAGGGACTCTGAACTATCCCTGCCCTTTGACAGGACAAGACTTAACCCCACTCACTCCACTCCGAACCTCGAACCTCGTGTGTTGTGGAACTCTCTCTCAATTATCTCGATAATGGGGCATTATTTTTAATCATGCTGCAGGCCCACAGCCTCATGGGAGATGTAGTTTTCCGGGTTCATTTAGCTCTAGGAATGGGAAGACATCTCGGTCCACGGGGCTAGGCTCTTGGATCGGGGTGGTGGGGGTAGTTATTGGTGCTAGGATGGCACTCCTGGGTTCTGAGGGGTCAGAGGGCTGGACATCTGAACACGTGGGTCCCAGGAGGACAGGGAAGTGGAAACTTGGACACCCTGGGCTGGGAGCCCAGATTTCTGAGCTGGAGATTGGAAGCCTCTGGTCTCGGGAAGAGAATGGGAAGATCTGGACACTTCCATCCAGGTGCTCGTGGACTTTAGAGTGTAACAATGGTCAAGCGCACTCTTTCACAGGAGGGGAGCTTTGTCCAACCACGAAAAGGAAAAGGTAATAAAGTCACACAACGGAAGCGCTGATCATCGCTGTGACGTACAATGTAGCAGATTAACGGTCTAAACCTGAAGGTTACGCAATGCTGTATGTCAAACGTGTTTCAACAACGATTTTTTCAAGTAGGCAGTTTTGTCCTTCCCAAAGAGATGCTATTGAGTAATTCTGAGATCTCTGAGGACTCTGAGTGTTCCAGCACCTTCTAACTGCCCATAGCACCCATAACAGCCTACTCTCACCTAGAGCCTGCGATCTCGATCTCTCTCTGTCTCTGTCTCTGTCTCTGTCTCTCTCTCTCTCTCTCTCTCACACACACACACACACACACACACACACATATGCGCGCGCCCACACGATTTGACCGCTGCTACACACACACACACACACACACATATGCGCGCGCCCGCGCGCGCGCACACACGATTTGACCGCTGCTGTTCTGAGTCTCTCACCAAGTCCTGGGCTGTGAGGACGACCTCTCCCCCTGGGGCTTGGAGAACTCCACCCTTCACAGTACTTTCTCCTGCTTCCTTTTCTTCCTTTACTGGTACCTGTTTGGCCCCGCCCAGCGTATTTTGGGGATCGTGGTGCTTCATCGTCAGCCAGTTTTGTGGAAGATGTTCTTTGTAAACTCTTGTTATCTATCTTTCTTCTGCACGAGATTATACTAGGGGTTGGGGTTGGGGAAAGTTAAGAGACTCTGTTGCCCGACCCGAATCTAATAGTGAGGAAGCATCACATAAATTCCAACCAAGGGACCTGCTGCAAAATAACTGGCCTTGACTCTTCAGAAGTTTCAAGGTCAAAAAGGACGAAGACAGAGGAACCATTCAGATGAACGGAGACCAGAGAGACAACATAACAAAATGCAGTTTGTTGAGCAAATCTATTTCCTATCCTGGACATTCATAAGACACTTGGTAACATTTGAATGTGTCCTGTACATTGGATAGTAGTAATTTATCTCTGTTAAATTTCCTGATTGTGATCATGGTACCATGATTACTGAAAAAAAAAAAAAAAAAAGAATGTCCTTGTTCTTAGCAAATACACACTGAAGTATTTAGGGACAAAGGGACATGGTATCGATAGATAACGTTTTCTCACATGTGTCTGGAAATGTAAATATATAATAATATGCAGAGATAGAGCACGCGGGAGGTGGGAATACTGATAATTGGGGAAACTGAGTAAAACATGTATACAGAGTTCTTTGGGCAAGGCTTGAAACTTTTCTATACGTTCTAAATTATGTTAGATAAAAGTTATTTCTGCTCACCCCCCCAAAAAAAAATTCATGCTGTAGATTCTTCTAAATGCATGGATGAGCTTATAAGAAGAAAAAGAAATGCCCAGGTCCCCAAAAAGAGAAGAAAGAAGGGGAAAGGGAAACCGAAGGTCAGGGCAGGGGAGGGGAGGGGAGGGGAGGGAGGAAGAAAACATAAGAAAAAAGGCAAACTCAGAGTGGAAAGTGTAACTGGTATTTCCGTGTGTCCCCAGGTGAAGCTCAAAGGGCCACCACCTCAGTGCAAGTCTGCTGTTTAAAATCCCACGAATATGATTCTACCTTATAAAGGAAGGAAATTCTGACACACGCTACGTGAATCTCGAACACATTTTGCTAAGTGAGAGAAGGCAGACACTCAAGGACAGAGACCGTACGGTTCCACTGATAAGTACCTAGAATAGACAAATCCATAGGAACAGGAAGTGGAGTAGTAGTGGGTGCTGGGGGTCGGGGAAGAGGGGGGATGAGAAGGTGCTTAATGGGTACGGAGTTTCAATTTGGGACGATGATACAGTTCTGGAGATGGATGATGGTGCTGGGTGAACAACAGCATGAATGTATTCAATGCCACCGAAATGTACACTCAAAAGTGGTTAAATGTAAACTTTCTGTTGTGTGGATCTCACCGCAATTAAAGAAAAAAAAGAAACTTTACCAAACTGCACTGAGAAAACGTCAGGGAGATCTCCCTGTTTCCGTTCGGGCTCTGGTTGGAAGCAGAATGATCCTCTAATGACAATTGTGTAACCACCGGCCCCGTCTCATGTGAAACGGGTATGAAATCGAACTGGGTGGCCAAGGCACGCCCAAGATGAGCACTCGATGGACTGGCTGTTGGACTAGTGATATCCCAGGGCTTCTGTCCAAAGCAAAGTTCTCCCTCTCTGGAGAGACACGCCATTCAACTCAGATATCACAGAGAAAGTCTTGAATGAGCTCATAATCCAAAGTTGCAAAATTTACAAGGGAACGAGGCACATGGCACATGCCCCCAGATACAAGACTGGACAAGACTGGACGTCCCTATCCCACCCCGCCCCACAATAACTTTTGCATAGAACTGTCAGAGAAAAATGATCGTTCGAGATCTTTTTTGAAAAATTATGATCAAATGCACACATCGTAACGTGCACCATCTTAACTATTTTAAGTGTACAGTTCCGTAGTCTTGAGTATATTCATGTATTGTGCAACCAACCCCTGGAATGTCTTCATCTCGCAAAGCTGAACCTCTTTACCCATTAAACAGTAACTCCCCATTCCCCTCTCTTCCCGACCCCTGGCCACCACATTCTACTTCCTGTTTCTACGAATCGTGTGTGTAGTGCTTTAGATATCTCACACGTACATCCTGTCGGTTCTGTTTCTCTGGAAAACCCTGGCTAGTAACACACCATGCTGTTTTCCACGGTAGACACATCTTCTCCTCCGACAGCGCCCAAGGCTTCCGATTTCTCTATAGCCTCTCAGACACAATTTCCTGGGCGTTTGGGTGGGCCTTTTCACTTTGTTTTTTGTATAGCAGTCATCCCGGTGGGGGTGAGGTGCTATCTCGTGGTGGATTTGATTCGCATTTCCCCAATGATTAGTGACATTGAGCATCTTTCCAAACATACGTCACGTATATGTATATCCTCTATGGAGAAATGTCTACTCAGGTCCTTTCTCCATTTTTTAATCAGTGTATTTGTTTTTTATTGTTGTTAAACTGTAAAAGTTCTTTATACATCCTGGCTATTAACCTTTTATCAGATTTACGGTTTGCAAATATTTTCTCCCGCCCCATAGGTCGACTCTGTCGATTGTGTCCTTCGATGTACAGAAGTTTTAATTTTTGATGTGGTCCAAATTATCTATTTTTACTTTTACTGCTTGAGCTTTTGCCGTCACATCCAAGAAAGCATTGCCAAATCCAATGTCATAAAGCATTTCCCCCAAGAGCTTTATGGTTTTAGGTCCATGATTTAATTCGAGTTAGTTTTTGCATAATGTGTAAGGTCGGGGTCCAACCTCATTCTTTTGCATGTGACTATCTGGTTTTCACAGCACTGTTTGTTGAAAAGATTGTGGCGAAATATTTATGTCAGAAGAGCTTTTGTGTATAAACACAACTATTCACAACTGTTTGATTTTTGGTAATGATTAATTAATTTTTAAGCAACCAGCTTTCATCTGAACATTCACTGACTACTTCCACAGCTAAAAATAGCAAGCTGTGAATTTCACAATTTTAGATTTTCCCAAACATTTAAACATAGATTGCAAATGTAATCAATGGACTTTTCACAAAGTCTTGTATCTCTGATTCCTTTAAATGTACCTTGAGTAAAGGGATTAAGAAGTACAAATTGCCAGTTGTAAGATCGTAAAGTACAGCATAGGGAATATAGTTAGTCATATTGTAATAGCTATGTTTGATATCATACGGGTACTGGATTTACTGGGTCTAGATCACTTCGTAAGTGATATAAATGTCTAATCGCTATGTTGTACACCTGAAACTAATAAAGAGTGTAGGTCAACTATAATTGGAAAAAAAAAAACTTAAAAAAAAATATCAGTACCTGGCGGGGGAGAAAATGCCTCGAATAAAAGAAAACTAGTAATACAATCTCGATGATATTTTTCACAAGTCTAATATAATAGATTCTCACGAATGCTTTAAATATCATCACAGATGGACAAATAGGGATACACTGATTATATAACAGATTCTCATGAATGCTTTAAATATCACCAAAGATAGACAAATAGAGATACACTGATTATTACATTGATCAGTTCCCTCACATTAAACTGGTTACAAAGTGCCAGCATTGTGGATACGAATGTATTTCTTCTATACCTGTATTCCGATGAAGATTTTGATTTAACTCTCCTGATACTTCCTCTTACCTGTGGTTGTTCTTACCTAGAAGAGAGTTAGGCTTCGCTCATCCACCAGGTGAGGTTGAGTTAGCAGTGTGAGGGTTGATGGACGATGGCCCTGGAGTCTCTTCCAAGTTGATTCTCACCAGGCCCA